TGGGGCTCAGCGCTTCTGGTTCGGGGGGTTCAGTGCTGCCGGTTCGGGGGTCCAGCCCAGGCTGGGGGTTTTATTTCCTTCCTGCTAGGGAAGGAAAGGCGGCTCCCCGCCCTCTCCTCCTCTCCGGCTGCGGCCTTTCTGCGCGTGCGCCGGCGGGCGCGCAGCATGTCTCCGTACCTTAGGCTTTTTTTTTCAGCTCCTTGATTTTCTTTCTGGTTTTCTCTTTCCTTCTTGTAGAAATTTCAGTCAGTCGACTACCTGTAGCTATGGGCAATGTCCACTCTACATCTTAGTTGTATTCCATTGAAATTGTTGTGTGCTGCCGTGGCTAGATGTCTACCCGAGCAGCCATCTTGGATCTCTCTCCCAATAAAATATATTTAAAAATACATATGTCTACTTGTGTGTCATGAAGCTCCATTCCACTGCAGCATGGTTTGGAAGAGGAAAGAAATGAATTGAACCTAAATGTGTAGCAATAGATGGTTATATTAGAGGTTGCAAACTGACAGCCATTGGGCCAAATTTGCTTTGCAGGCGTGTTTTGCTTAGCCTCGAGTGTTTTCCAAATTTGAATTAGTTAGCCTGGCCAGTGTGGCTCAGTGGTTGAGCATCAATCTATGAACCAGGCGGTCACAGGTTCTATTCCGAGGCAGCAGATCCATGATAAATCATCATTGATGTTTTATCTCTCTCTCCTTCTCTCTTCTTCTCTGAAATCAATAACAATATATTAAATACATATTAAGTATTTTTTGAATTAGTTGCCAACATTAAAAAATTAGATTTATTTAAAAATTGGTATAAAAAAAACCTCTTACAGCACTGGATTTCAAGTTAACAATCCTTTGGTAAGTGTAAAGAACTATTTCCGCTTCGAACAAAACACACCTGCTCCACTTCATCACTCTACTGATTTGTTACCTTCAGGCATCGAAGTTTGGGATTCTGGCAGGTGAGTCCTGGCTCAGAGAAGTAATGAAATGCACCTAGTGATGTAAATACAATGCGGGAAATATACACCGAGGCCAAAACTGGTTTGGCTCAGTGGATAGAGCGTTGGTCTGCGGACTGAAAGGTCCCAGGTTCGATTCCAGACAAGGGCATGTACCTCGGTTGTGGTACATCTCCGGTAAGGGGTGTGCAGAAGGCAGCTGGTCGATGTTTCTCATCGATGTTTCTAGCTCTCTGTCCCCCTCCCTTCCTCTCTGTAAAAAATCAATAAAATATATATTTTAAAAAATATATATATATATATACTGAGTGGCCAGAGTATTATGGCCAACCCATCAGTACTTTGTTGGGCCACCTTTTGCCTTCAATACTGCAGCGATTCTTCTTGGCATTGACGCCATGAGATGCTGAAAGGTGATGCGAGGAATCTGACACCATGCCTGATGGATAGCACCATCCAGTTCTGTGAGATTGGATGGTTGTGGAACCAGCTGCCTGATGGCTCTTTTAACTTCATCCCACAAATGCTCAATTGGATGGATATCTGGTGATTGTGGGGCCGCCTAAGCAAGGGAAAGTCTCCCTCATGTTCTGGAAACCACTCCTGCACAATAGGAGCACCGCGGCATGGCGCACTGTCTTGTTGGAGAAGCCATCTCCATTGGGATGCGCCATCCACATGACAGGATGAACTTGATCACAACGATACTTAGGTATGTTGTGCTATTCAGACGTTGTTCCACAGGAATTATAGGGCCCAAATCATGCCAGGAAAACATGCCCCAAACCATAACACTGCCCCACCAGCTTGAAGGGTTGTACTCATGCATATGGGGGGCATGCTTTCATGCTGTTTCCGATAAATTCTCACTGCCATCTGCATGATGCAACTGGAAACGTGATTCATTGGACTACACGACTTTTTCCCCATATTGTCCAACCCTTGTGTTTCTGTGTGAATTGGAAACATCTTATCTTGGTAACTGCAGACAGCAAAGGTGTTCAAACAGGCCTTTGGATTCCATATCCCATATGATGCAGTGTACGGCTAATTTGCCTACAAACGTCAGGTGGTCATAATAACTTGGCCATTCAGTGTATATGTAGTGGTGTGGAAAGATCACCAAGACATATTGTTGAGTGGAAAACACGCCAGATGGAGAACTCTTACTTATGTGATGCAATTGCTATAAACAGCAAGTAATAATGTATCAGGGGTATTTCTGTTTTACCATGTTCCTAGTGCCTAGAATAGTGCCTGGCATACACTGGGAACCCAGTACATTCTTGCTGAATAAATACTTATGTATAATCGTGTAAGGCGGGTACACACTAAATACCAGTGATTAATTCTGTCCAGGGACTGGAATTTGGGAGAGGTGGTGGTCAAGGGATGATTGCTGTTTTTTGTTTTGCATAGTTTGAATCTTTTACAAACATAAGTTTCATTACTTCCATAACCTAAAAAAAAAAAAAAACTAAAGAAAGGCAGGCCAGCACAATGTAACATAGTGATCAAAACAAGATTTAATTAGTCTCAATGGAAACTATCCAAAAACAAATGAATGGGGACAAAAATAGAATTCTGTAGTTAGGAACAAAAAAAGCTAACTCAAATACTTAGCCTCCAACTCAGAATTAACCAGCGGGATGAGCAGTGACCTGGACTGATCCAGACCACTCCGGATGTGACTGAAGCTCCATCCACACCCGTCCTCCCTGGGGGCGTATTCTGCTTCCCACCCCCAGCCTCCAGCCCCCAATTCCGTGTCTGTGAGCTCGTGAAGGCCCTGCACACGGTGTACCAGCTTGGTAAGATTCTCAAAAAGAAAAGACAGCTTTCCTTTTGGGTAGGCAGCAAAGCCCGGCAGGAAAGGAGTTGAAGGCCGGTGTTTGGAGATCAGACGCTCCCCCTCAAAGGGAGGCCGGCCTGGCTCGGCGGGTCGGCGCGCCAGAGGTGCCAGGAATAGACCGAAGCCGGCGGTTCGGAGCCAGAGGGCACCCTGCAGGGGACGGCTCCCGGCGCTATGTTTGGAAGCAGCCTTTTCACCGCTCACCCCAGGACCAGCTCTCACTGAACAGCGTTTGTCCTGTCCTCGGGGCTTGTCGTCAGGCGCCGGCCCCTGCTCCGGGGGCAGGACGTTCCGAGCGGTTCCGAACGGCGGGAGCGAAGAGCCCACGGCGGGGCTGGCTCAGCGCTAGGCAACGGGCCGGCCCGGAGACGCAGAGCCGGGGCCCGAGCGCGCTTGCGCGGGGAGGCGGGGGGAGGCCGGGCCCTGCTCGGCTCTGCGCAAGCGCGGGGAGGCAGGGGTCGCTGCTTGGCTCTGCGCAGGCGCGGGGAGGCAGGGGTCGCTGCTCGGCTCTGCGCAGGCGCGGGGAGGCGGGGGGGGCGCTGCTCGGCTCTGCGCAGGCGCGGGGAGGCGGGGGGGGCGCTGCTCGGCTCTGCGCAGGCGCGGGGAGGCTGGCTCGGGCCCCTCCGCAACCCCGGCCCCGCCAGCCCCAGGGCGGCCTTTCTGTACGATCTGTAGCAAATGCGCTCGGAAGTTCGACCTTCCAGCCTTTGGCCTCCATCACGGTCCGGAGGCGCTTAGGAGCGCAACAACGGACGCCTTCTATGAGGCGGAACGCAATCCGCAAACTCCTCCCCGCCGCGCCGCCCCGCACTTCCGCCGGAAGTCGCTCCGTCCGCCAGCGTCGCGCGCTGACGTCACGGCCGCGACGGCGTTCTGGGGGCGCGCCCCGGAGGCGCGGGCGGGGCGCCGCGGGCGGTTGGTGGGTCGCCCTGGGAGGTAAGGCGCCCTCCGCTGGGCGCTGGGCTGCCCCCTGGCTCAGGGACGCCCGTGTGTCTGTGTGGCCGCCCTTCCCGCCCTCCCCCTCGCTGTCCGGGAGGACGCGGCGCCCTTCAGCCCCGCGCGGGGCCCGGCACCCACACCGTTCCCCTCTGCACTCCGGCCCCCGGGATCAGGGGCAAGCTCCCGCGAGGCCCACCGGCCGCGACCCTAGGATAGAGAGTAGCTTCGGGGAGGCCCTTCTGGAGGGTCCCCAACGTGGGCGCCTCAGGGACGGGCATCCGAGGCTCGCAGCGTAATCCTTCCCAATGAGCTGCTCCCCCGGAAGCCTAATGGCCAACCCCCCGTCCAGCCTGCGGAGCCCCGACTGCCCCCGACGTCACATTCTGCCCCACAGCGCGCGCCGCCTCCGCGCCCCCGTGACGGAGTGTCTCGGGCGGGCCCGGCCTCCGGGCGGAAGCGTGCCTCGCGCAGCCCCGGGGTCTCCGGTGGTTCCGGGCGCCTGCCTCTGCGCAGCAGGAAATGCGGTGGGAATGCTCTGTGAGTGTTGGGAGGAGGAAAGCCAGAGCTGCCCGCCGGAAATCATCCTCCAGACAAGAACTATGTAGGCTGGAGACCCCGAGCCACCCGGTGAGAACGGCTGCTCTTTGTTCCTGGTTCATGAGTAGCTGCTAGTTGGTTATCTCCATTGGGAGTCTGGCCCGGCTCACATTTGCTAAGGCCCAGCAACCACCCCAGTTACTTACACAGCTGCCCTTCCTGCCCCCTGCGGCCTGGCCCTGGGCCCCTGCCCGCCTCCGGGGATGCTCGGTCCAGTGGCATCACCAGATCCTGTTGGCTCCGCTCTGTGTTCACATCTGTGTGACTGTTTGTGTTTAAGGAAGTGACAGATGGTTTGTTGCTGGGGGTGGCGGGGGAAGGTGAGTGCATGTTTGCATATTCTTCCCCACTGCATTTTGGAATCTGCAGATGGGAGATGCCCCGGAGCGGGCTGCGGTGGTTGGATGAAGGCATTTGGGAAGGAGAGCGAGCACCCAGGCCTGTGTGCTTTAAGGGCTGGTGACTTTTGTTTGGGAGCCGAGTAGGGAGTTGATGACTGAGAATAGGAGCCACGGAATGAACCCCTCAGTGTCGCCACCCTCTTTCTGTTCCTCTGCAGCCCCAGGATGGACTTCCTGGTTCTCTTCTCATATTACTTGGCTTTGCTGCTGATTGGTGGTGTTGTGCTCTGCATCTGCTTGCAAACCCGCTACCTGAATGGCCTGGCCCGAGGGGGCGCACAGGTAACTGACTACAAAGCTCACCGTTTCCTGGCCGGACTGAGGAAGGAGAGATGCCATTTTTATTCATGTGTCCCCTTGTTCTTTCATTTATGGCAAAGTCGTCCTTTCTGGGGTTTCCCCCCTCCTGATTGTTAAAAGTTATCCTGCATTGATGTCTTGAGAGAAGGTAGCATTCTTAAGGTTGCCTGTTTTCCTCTGGATCTGATGCCTGTCGTTGGGCATGGGTTTGAGCAGTGTCTGCCCGGAGGGGCCTGAGGGTGAAAGGGGGGGAGAGGGGGGGAGGGCAGAAAGCTGAGCATTGGGCTGCCCACACTCCTTCAGGGATCAGAGAGAGCAAAGTCAGGTGAGCAGCCCTTGGGAACGGGTTGCCCTGGAGGTGGGTTTGGAAGGGAGGGTTGAACTCCAGCAGGGAAGAAAGGGCGTTCCCATCAGCAGTACCTGCCCCAGCCACCCTTTGGCTGAAGACCCTGACATGGTGCCTTCTTTGAGGTGAGGGTGGAAATGGGGGGGAAGCCATCCTCTTTATTCTCTCCTCTCTGCCCTGGTGCAGAAGCACAGTTTCACCAGTATTGGCAGCTGAACGGGCGGCATCTAATTGGGTGTTGGGGGAGAATGAAAAATGAAATTGACTGTTTCTCTTTTCTTTGTTTTAGATATTTTCCTTTATAACTCCTGAACGGCTTCAGAGAGCCGTGCTGAGGTCGCTTCATTACCTCTTTCATACCCGGTATTCTTTTGTTCTGCTTATTGTTGCGGTCGTGTGGCTTCCAGCTACAGAAAAGCTGCTGGGAAGGGTCCAGAGTCCTGGCTTCTGAGCCTCTCCTCACAGATAATCTGCCTGTCCCCTCCGGGTTTGCCAAGTGCACTTTTTAAAAATATATATACATATTTTATTGATTTTTGTACAGAGAGGAAGGGAGAGGGATAGAGAGTTCGAAACATCAATGAGAGAGAGTCATCGATCAGCTGCCTCTTGTACACCCCCTACTGGGGATATGCCCGCAACCAAGGTACATGCCCTTGACTGGAATCGAACCTGGGGCCTTTCAGTCCCCAAGCCGACGCTCTATCCATTGAGCCAAACCGGTCCCGGCCAGCCATGTGCATTTTTAAATGGAAGTATTTAAAGGGTAGAAACAGCTGAAACCGGTTTGGCTCAGTGGATAGAGCGTCGGCTTGCGGACTGAAAGGTCCCGGGTTCGATTCTGGTCAAGGGCCTGTACCTTGGTTGCGGGCACATCTCCAGTGGGGAGTGTGCAGGAGGCAGCTGATCGATGTTTCTCTCTCATCGATGTTTCTAACTCTCTCTCCCTCTCCCTTCCTCTCTGTAAAAATTCAATAAAAAATATTTTTTAAAAAACAAAAAACGTTGGAAGATATTGATATGCATCTCTGTAAAAAGAAACATATTCCAATACTGTGATCCCAATTCTTAAGATAGACGGTTATGATAATAGATAACATTTGAGTGCTGACCACGTGCTGGGCCCTGTGCCAGCTGTGTCACACCGTTTCTTAGGTGGTTCTCGCTAGCACCTCAAGCCCAAAGGAAGTAGCCGGCCCGGGGCTGTCTGCAGCGAGTGCTGTGTGTCCTCCCGAGGAGCCCGGGACAAGCCTGTGCCGCTTCCTTTCAGAAACAATGCCTTCCTCGTGCTGCACGTCTTCTTACAAGGAATGGTTTACACTGAGTACACCTGGGAGATCCTGGGCTACTGTCAGGAGCTGGACTTCTCCTTGTGTTACCTTCTGCTGCCCCACCTGCTGCTGGCCGTGAACCTGGTGTTCTTCACCCTGAGCTGTCTCACCGACCCTGGTGAGTGGAGGCTCTTGGTATAGGCAGCTCAACTGTCAGCCTTACTAATAGTGGTGCAAACTATTAGCAATCCCTGGAAGGCCTTGAAAGGTTTGATATTTAGTGTCTTCATGATCTTTGCATGTTTTTGTGTGTGTTTTTATTGATTTCAGAGAGGAAGGAGGAGGGAGAGAGAGGCAGAAACATTAGTGATGAGAGAGAATCACCGATCAGCTGCCTCCTGCACGTCCCCCCACTGGGGATCGAGCACACAACCTGTGCCCTTGACCGGAATTGAACCCAGGACCCTTCAGTCCGCAGGCCGACGCTCTATCCACTGAGCCAAACCGGCCAGGACATGATCTTTCAGTTTTGAGAGTTTTCTAAATTTTTTTTCTTAATTTATTTTTTTAATAAGTAGAAGTATCAAAAATTTAAACTAAAGAATTCATATGAAAATTGTTTAACTGTTCTAAACAAACCAAGGTCAAAGAAGGAAAAAATAAAATTAGAAAACTCTCACCGAAACCGGTTTGGCTCAGTGGTAGAGCGTCGGTCTGCGGACTGAAAGGTCCCAGGTTCGATTCTGGTCAAGGGCATGTACGTTGGTTGCGGGCACATCCCCAGTAGGGGGTGTGCAAGAGGAAGCTGGTCGATGTTTCTCTCTCATCGACGTTTCTAGCTCTCTATCTCTCTCCCTTCCTCTCTGTGAAAAATCAATGAAATATATATTTAAAAAAAAAGATGTCATATACAAAAGACCACATATTGCCTGATTCTATATATAAGTATCCAAAAAAGGCAGATCCATGGAGACAGATGTGTGGGTCAGTGGTTGCCTGAAGCTAGGGGAGTAGAGAGAAATGGGGCTAAAGGATTTCTTTTTGGAGGTGATGTAAATGTTCTGAAATTGTGATTGCACAACTTTGAATGTACTAAAAACCATTGAATTGTACATTTTTAAATGGGGTTTTAATTTCTCAGTAAAGCTATTAAAATTATAAATGAGTTGTTTATTAAATACGGCAGTTTTCATTGTGCTCTGTCAGATCAGGCTTTGTGACTATCCAGTCCTGCTTGAAACTGACATCTGTCCTTACATTTTCCAGGCACCATCACAAAAGCAAACGAAGCATTGCTTCTTCAAGTTTATGAGTTCGACGAAGTGATGTTCCCAGAGAAAAGGTGGTGCTCTACTTGTGATCTAAGGAAGCCAGCACGATCCAAGCACTGCAGTAAGTGGCTCTGGCTGCTCCAGCTCCGCCCTCCACTCAGGCTGCTTCTGTAAGGGAATGTTACAGACCTGGGAGACTCCCATTTGACTCCCAGACCTGGGGCAGCCAGACATAGTGCTTTCTTTCAGATGCCTGCGGGGAGGTCTTGTATTCTTCTCTAATGAATGGGCCACCCTCAGTCCTGGGGACGACAGCCTTCCTTGCCCCCGTGGACCTGCAGGTTGCCCGAGAGAGGTGTCTGCAGGGTACTATGCTTAACCAGGAAGTTTTACTAAAGCCCAAGACAAAGGAGACTATATGCATTCTTGTGGCTTCTTTGTAATGCTCACTTCTGGGTGGGCCCACATAATGGTGTCTGTTCCTGGTGCTTGGCTGGATTTAGATAATGAAACCTGGCGCCTGAGCTGAAGATCAGGCTGACAACAGACCAGCCTCTGGCAATGTGTGTTTCCAGGCTGTGGCTCTGCCTACGCCACTGGATTCAGCTGACAGTAATGAAAGAAAATGCCATGTGCCTTCCCAGGCGCTCTCTACAGGAGAACACGGTTCAATTTCCTATCGGGGCGCAAGCCTGGGTGTGGGCTTGATCCCCAATGGGGGGCCTGTAGGAGGCAGTCAATCAATGATTCTCTCTCATCATTGATGTTTGTTTCTCTTTCCCTCTCCCTTCCTTTCTGAAATCAATTCAGAAATATATATTTTTTAAAAAATTATTCATGGAAAAAAAAATAATAAAAAATAAAAAATTATTCATGGGATAGTTTATATTCTTTTTCATACTAAGTCTTTGAATCTGATGTGTATTTTATGTTTACAGCACCTCTCATCCAGACCCTAAATTTTCATTGAAAATACTGGATCTGAATTTAGATTTCATACAACTTACAGTTGGAATAGCAGATTCACTTACCCAAGCTATTCCCAACATTTTTATAAGTTTTTTCAGTAATTGAATCAGTACCAAAAAGACATTTCCTTTAATATCCACATCTCTTTGTCAGAAGAATTGATTTGACTTTAAAGCAAAGGCATTAGTTTTGAAAGTAAGTTAAGTAAATTCACTAACTCTTGCATCATCTTGCATATTCAGATTGAACTCAAAAGAGTTATTTCACAAATTGGAAAATATCTGTACATTTATTAATATCAACAAAGTATTTTTTCAAGTGTTTCTCGTAGCCACATATCTAGTTCTCAGTACCCACCTGTGGCTGGGCGAGTGGGTGCTGTATTGGACACTGCAGTCCTAACAGCTGGATGACAGCAGCTGCCTGCCATTCCCCCAGGTCAGACTGCCGTTTGTAGCTACGTCAGTGGGTGTGCATGGTGCCCTTGTCTCATCGAGACCCGCCGGTGTCTGTGCAGGTGTGTGTAACCGGTGTGTGCACCGCTTTGACCATCACTGTGTGTGGGTGAACAACTGCATCGGGGCCTGGAACGCCAGGTACTTCCTCATCTACCTCCTGACGTTGACGGCATCAGCTGCCACCATGGCCATTGTGACCACCGTATTTCTGGTCCGGTTGGTGGTAATGTCGGACTTGGACTTGTACGTTGATGACCTTGGACACTCCCAGGATGTTGACACCATCTTTCTTATTCAGGTAATCAGTTATTCTGGTTATTTTGTTATGGGCTGTATATTTCTGACTTCAGTTTCAAATTGGGAAAGGGACATTTTGTTTTCCCAGTAAAAACATGAAGCCATTCCTTTAAAAAAAAAAAAATTGACATATAATCTTTGAAAATTGGTAAATAATTCACATGCCGTAAAATTTCCTCTTTCAAAATATACAATCCAGTGATGTTCGTATGTGCAGGGTTGTGTAACCATCAATCCTGATTTCAGAATATTGCATCACGCCAGAAAGTATTTCCTCACCCATTCTATTCTCCTCCCAGCCATGGCCCCGCTAATCGACTTCCTGTTCCTATAGATGTACCTTTCTGGCCATTTCCTATCAGTGGAATCACAGTATGTGGCCTTTCAGATTGGCTTCTTTCACGGAGCATAACTTTTTCAAGGTTCATTCATGCTAATAGCATGAATCAGTACTTCATTTCTTTTTTTCTTTTTTTTTAATATATATTTTATTGATTTTTTTACAGAGAGGAAGAGAGAGAGGACAGAGAGTTAGAAACATCGATGAGAGAGAATCATCGATCAGCTGCCTTCTGCACACCTCCTCCTGGGGATGTGCCTGAAACCAAGGTACATGCTCTTGACCGGAATCGAACCCGGGACTTTTCAGTCCGCAGGCTGACGCTCTATCCACTGAGCCAAACCGGTTTCAGCAGTACTTCATTTCTTGTTATGGCAAAGATCCCATTGTGTGGGATTGCCACACTTTGTTCCATTCGTCATTTGATGGACATTTGGGCGTTGTCACTTTTTGGATATTTTTGAATAATGCTGCTATGAGCATTTGTGCACAAGTTTTTGGGTGGACGTAGGTTTTTATTGCTCTTGAGCTAGATAGCTGAGAGTGGGCTCGCTGGGTCATAGGGAAACTCAACATCTGAGGAACTGCCAGCTGGTTCCCGGAGCACCACCAGCACGCAGTGTTCCCGCTTCTCCATGTCCTCGCCAACACCTAAAATTCCTTTTTTTTTTAAAAATATATATTTTATTGATTTTTTACAGAGAGGAAGGGAGAGAGATAGAGAGTTAGAAACATCGATGAGAGAGAGTCATCGATCAGCTGCCTCTTGCACCCCCCTACTGGGGATGAGCCCGCAACCCAGGTACATGCCCTTGACCAGAATGGAACCTGGGACCTTTCAGTCCACAGGCCGATGCTCTATCCACTGAGCCAAACCGGTTTTTGCCACCTAGTATTTCTTATAGTCGTCCCAGGACTGAGGGTGGTGGTAATTTCTATAGATATGAATGGAAAATCATTACATTTTGCACTGCTGTTGTGCACCTTAAAGATACGTCCATTATATGTTAAAGCTGGGTGGGGAAGGAAAAAAAATTTAAAACATCTTGGAGCCGAAACCGGTTTGGCTCAGTGGTAGAGCGTCGGTCTGCGGACTGAAGGGTCCCAGGTTCGATTCCTGTCAAGGGCGTGTACATTGGTTGCGGGCACATCCCTGGTGGGGGGTGTGCAGAAGGGAGCTGGTCGATGTTTCTTTTTCATCAACATTTCTGGCTCTCTCTCTCTCTCTTACTCTCTGTAAAAAAAAAAATTAATAAAATATATATTTAAAAAAAAATAAAATAAAACATCTTGGAAAAAAGAAATGAAAACATACCCCTCTCCTCTCAACACTTTCACACCCCAGAGGCACCTCCTTGTCGCTTGGTGGGTATATTGCAGGCCTTTTTCCTCCGTCTGTTCATGTGGCCATACATGTCCATAGAGTCGTGTTCGCACAGACAGGACCCATGGTGATCCTTGCGTCTTGTCTTTCTCACTGGGCAGTATGTTACCAACATCTCTTCCAAATCAGTACACGGACGTTGGCCATCTGGTCGGCTCCTGATTGTGGCATGGTTTGACTGTCCTGGAGTTTTCCTCTGCCTCGTGGATGCACATTCCATACATTCAGTGCCCCTGTACAGTGAGCACCTTGCACAGTATCTCTGGCTGTTCCATTTTGAGAGAGAGAGAGAGAGAGAGAGAGAGAGAGAGAGAGAGAGAGAGGCAGGCCTTCTGTCCATCTGGATTTGATTGCGATGCATGAGCTCAGAGTTACATCATTTCTTTGTGTTTTTATAAGAAGGTAAGAGGCATAGCACCATCTCCGGAGTATCTTTCCCTCTCCTCCAGCGCACACCTTGGCTTATCCCATGCTGAGCTCCTGCATATACGGGTGTCTCTCGGGCTTCGGTCAGTGCTGCGATGGTTCTGACTTGTGTTGAGTGGGTAGATGTGCAGGGAGGGGGTGAGCTGGAGGCGGCTCTGACAGTCTCTGGGGGAGACCAGGGCTGGCGGGCTGGCCCTGCTGTGTCAGCCCGGCCTCACGTGCGCTGCTCTTTGCCCAGCGCCTGTTCCTGACCTTCCCGCGGATCGTCTTCCTGCTGGGCTTCGTCTTGGTGCTGAGCTTCCTCCTGGGCGGCTTCCTGTGCTTCGCGCTGTTCCTGGCCGCCACCAACCAGACCACGAACGAGTGGTGCCGAGGGGACGGGGCCTGGTGCCAGCACTGCCCGCAGGCGGCCGGGACCCCATCGGCAGAGCTCCGTGCTTACCGGAACATCCACTCCCATGGGCTTTGGAGCAACCTCAGAGAGATCTTTCTACCCTCTACTGCACATGGTGACAGAAAGAAGAAATGAGAATGGAAGAGTGTTAACTGCCTTTTAAATATAGTTAATTTTAAATATAGTTCATTTATTTATGCATATGGATACTTTCTAAGCATCTTTTTTTTTTTTTTTTTTTTTTTTTTTTTTTCCTGTTCTGTGTTTATAAATTGCCTTTCCGTGGTTAAGGAAGGGGAGAGAAAGGTAGGGCTTACTGAGTGCCTACTGGAAAACCTCCTTGGTCACCCTCTGCTCACTCAGCCTGTGGGAACGGAGCTTCTGGAGTCCTAGTGACCTCTCAGGCCCAGACCTTGGTCTCCCACTAGACTTGGCTCCTGAACAGGAGGGGCCCTGGGGCTGTGTCCCCCGGTGTGCAGGAGGGTCTCAGTAGCTTGGAGTTGTGCCTGGCTCTGCCTTCTTCATGTCCTCATCTCTCTCAGGCGCAGTGGTCGGCAAACTCATTAGTCAACAGAGCCAAATATCAACAGCACAACGATTGAAATTTCTTTTGAAAGCCAAATTTTGGAAAAATTCCCCTTTGAGGGAAGAATGGGTTGTCTCATGTCAGCATGTAGCAGATATTAATCTTGTCAGTAAGGGGGTAGTGATTGAGGATTCCACTAAGGCCTGACATCAATTCACTTAAGTATGTTTTAATCATTTGCTCTCCTGGCCTGGGCACTCACACATACGTCTTTGCTGTCAGAAGGGAGGCTCGTGGCCCCGGCAGCACAGTCTTTCCCCCCACAGTGAGGCACGTCCGTTTAATGAATCAATACAGGCTCTTCCGGTTCCAAATGTACCTCACTTTCCACCGAGCATGCCTTATCACACCTGGGCTTCTTTCAACAAGGTTGTTTATTTGTGGTTGTGCGAAAAAAGAAACATAAGCTCTAGGAGAACTTTGGTGCCAGATGATAAATAGATCCTTTCAAGGACCATGTTAAAAAAGAAAAAGAAAGCCAAATTTTTTATTTTTTATTTTTTTAAAGATATTTTTATTGATTTTTTTTACAGAGAGGAAAGGAGAGGGATAGAGAGTTAGAAACATCGATGAGAGAGGAACATTGATCGGCTGCCTCCTGCACACCCCCTACCATGGATGTGCCTGCAACCAAGCTACATGCCCTTGACTAGAATCAAACTGGGACCTTTCAGTCTGCAGGCTGATGGTCTATCCACTGAGCCAAACCCGTTTCGACAGAAAGCCAAATTTTTTAAACTTTAACTTCTTCTAATGCCATGTCTTCAAAATAGACTCGCCCAGGCCGTGGTATTTTGTGGAAGAGCCACACTCCAGGGGACCAAGAACCGCATGTGGCTCGCGAGCCACAGTTTGCCAACCACTTTCCGGTGCAAGGTTTGACTTTTCTCCATTTCCTTAACTATACCTGCACCTTCACCCTGGCCTGTTGAGCTTGTGGCCTCCTGTCAACCCTCCACTGACCTCTTGTGGCCATATCAAGTATTTTGAGTCTTTTTTTTTTTTTAATTGTTTTTGATTGGTTTTAGGAAGGGGGAGAGAGATGGACAGAAACATCAGTTTGCTGTTCCGCTTGTTTAAGCATTCATTGATTGCTTCTAGTATGTGCCTTGCCCCGAGATCAAACCTGAAACCCTGAATTATTGGGACGATCTAACCAGTGCCTGCCCTATTTTTTAATTCCTAACTAAGCACAAGTAACTCAGTGCAGAGATGAGTGCTGGAAAAAAGACTCCTAGGAAGTGCTGGGGGTTCAGGATGGGAGAGCCGTTAGGAGCAGAGCACCGAGGCTCCCTCCCAGGCCACTCGGAAGGGGGTGGGGGACAGGAACTGGCAGGGAGGCATCATTTGACATCGTAACCCTCGGAGCTCAGACGAGATACATTCTTAGAAGTGAACTGCCAGGCTGAGCCGTGCCCTGCGCTGCCACCTGTGCTCGGTGGTGGGAAGGGACAGTGAACGTGTAGGGTCGGAGCCGGGCTTGGGGACAAAGGGAGCGGCGTCTGCCCGCCTTGCGGGGGCGGCGGAGGGGAGCGCGGGGCCCAATGAGCCTCGATGGCGGGGTCACGGCCTTGGCCGCGGCGGGCGTCCACCTGCGCGCCCGGGGCCCAGGGCGGTGTCGCGGCGCGGGGGCGGGGCCTGCGCCTGGGGGCGGGGCCTGCGGGCGGCGCCCTTCCGCGCCCGCAGACGCCGCCGCCAGGTGGCGCCCTCCCGGGAGCGGGCGCTCGCCCGGCGGCTTGACCCCTGCGGGCCGCCGTCGCCGCTCGGCAGTCCCCGCCGTTCGCCTCCGCGGCGTCGGCTCCCGAGCTCTGGCGGCGCCGCAGCGCACCCGGCTTCCCCGCTGGCTGGCGGACGGGATGGCCCCCTGAGCGGGCCCGCGCCGGCGGCGGCGGGCGGGCGGGCGCCGCGGCCCAGGCCCGGCGCGGCGGGCGGGGCGCCGGGCGCGGCCTCTTTGTCTGCGGGGCGGCGGGCGCGGCCGCGGGGCTCGGGGCGGAAGTCCCGCCGCGCTCGCGGCGCCCCGGCCCGCGGCGGCCGCGCCATGAGCGACATCCGCCACTCGCTGCTGCGCCGCGACGCGCTGAGCGCCGCCAAGGAGGTGCTGTACCACCTGGACATCTACTTCGGCAGCCAGCTGCAGAGCCAGGGCGCGCCGCTGCCGCTCGGCGACCAGGGCCCCGTGGAGCTGCTCGAGGAGTTCGTGTACCAGGTGCCCAAGGAGCGCGGCGCGCAGCCCAAGGTGCGGGCCCGGCGGCCGAGCGCCGCCCTCCCTGTCCCTGTCTCTGCCCGTCCCTCTCCCTCCCTCTCCCTCCCTGTCCCTGTCCCTGTCCCTCCCTCTCCCCGCGCGGCCACGAGGGTTCGCCGGGCCCCGGCGCCCTGCCCGGCCGGGCTCGCCCCCGCCCTCGGTCCCTTCCCTCCGGAGGCCTGAGCATCGCCCTGCGGGTGCCTGACAGCCGTGCTCCCCGCAGGGCGCGCCCAGCGCTGCACGGACGGTGGTGACACCCCCGGAGCCGCGGCGGGACCTCCCCGGCACCCGGGCTGGGGGGGGGGCAGTGCCCTGGGGAAGAGCGACCTGTTTTCTAACTGTGAACCCGTGTGCCTGTTACCGCTCCGTGTCTCATCGCCTCTCCCGGGTTTGTTTTTATAGAGATTGAATTCACTCCAGGAGCTCCAACTGCTTGAAATCATGTGCAATTATTTCCAGGACCAAACCAAGGACTCTGTCCGGCAGATTATTTTCTCATCCCTTTTCAGCCCCCAAGGGAACAAAGCGGATGACAGCCGGATGAGCTTGCTGGGAAAACTGGTCTCCATGGCGGTGGCTGTGTGTCGAATCCCAGTGCTGGAGTGTGCAGCCTCCTGGCTCCAGGTACCTCTCCCGACATGGCCTTCTCCCGGCCTCCAGGAGGGATGTGCCAGGAACTGGGTTTGTTGAGGGGCCTTGGCCAGGTGCTGTCCACTGGGTGTTGCCAGCCAGCATGCTGACGCTCCAGACCCATCTTTATATACAAGGGATACCCTTTCTGGAGGAAACAGTAGTCTGTGATGGTACATTAACTTTAAAAAGTAAGGCTCTGTCTTCAGAACAAGTGAAAAATCACTTTTCTTGGTTGAAAATGATAGTAGGATCATGAAATCAACTATGCAGGTAGCTTTGGACATGTTTCTTTTTTTTTTAAATATATTTTATTGATTTTTTACAGAGGAAGAGAGAGGGGTAGAGAGTTAGAAACATTGATGAGAGAGAATCATCGATCAGCTGCTTCTTGCACACCCCCTACTGGGGATGTGCCCGCAACCAAGCCGACGCTCTATGCACTGAACCAAACTGGTTTCGGCTGGGGTTTGTTTTTTTAAGATCATTACATGTCACCGTGGCGTGTTCGCTTACTTTCTGTACAGTTAGGTCAGCCAGCATGGGTGCTGTTTGCATTGCTGTAGGATGGCATTACAGCGTGGGTGGCTGTTCTAACGGACAGGGACCTCGGAGCTTTCCAGAGTGTTCTTATTTATTTACCTTTTACAGAGGGAGGAAGGGGGAGGGATAGAGAGATGGAAACGTCCACGAGAGAGGAACATCATCAGTTGGCTGCCTCCTGTACGGCACCCACTGGGGATTGGGCCCAAAACCGAGGTATGTGCCCTGACCAGAATCAAACACGGGACCCTTCAATCCACAGGCTGTCAAGATCACCTCTATCACCCTAGCCGGTTTGGCTCAGTGGATAGAGCGTCGGCCTGCAGACTCAAGGGTCCCAGGTTTGATTCCGGTCAAGGGCATGTACCTTGGTTGCGAGCACATCCCTAGTAGGAGGTGTGCAGGAGGCAGCTGATTGATGTTTCTCTCATTGATGTTTCTAACTCTCTATCCCGCTCCCTTCCTCTCTGTAAAAAAATTAATAGAATATATATTTTTTAATTGTGTATAAATATTTTTATTGTAACTTTTTTTTTTTAACTCCTTGCCCAAGGATATGTTTTTATTGATTTTTTTTTTTTTTTTTGAGAGAGAGAGAGAGCAACATCTATGTGAGAAACATCAGTTGGCTGCCTCTTATATTCACCCCAACTGGGAATTGAACCTGCAACCTAGGAATGTGCCCTGATCCAAGTCAGACTCAGCAACCTTTTGGTATAGGGGGTGACGCTCCAGCCAGCTGAGCCACCGGGCCAGGGCGTCTTGTAATCTTTCTTACCATTAAAATTTGGCTAGCAAGCCTTGGCCGGGTAGCTCAGTTGGTTAGAGCATCGTCCCCATACACCAGGGTTGTGGGTTCGCTTCCCAGTCCGGACACATATAAGAATCAACCAAGTGGAACAACAAACTGATACTTCTCTCTGAAATTAATTTTCAAAAAACTTGGCCAGCAGAAAGATACGTTTATCTTTGTAGTACACAGGCAGATCTCAGTGGAGTCTGATTTCTGGGGCATCTGAAGTGACATGTGTGCCATCTGTAACCTCTATCCTTTGACAGCCTACTGCAGTCAAACTTAGCACCTTGTGACCCATCACAGGACTCCCCGCCTCCCCCCCCCCCCCTCTCGGCACAGTCGGGCTGGCATTCTGGCAGAAGGAGAGCAGATGGGAACAGCAGGACAGGGTCTCTGTAGTCTGGGTCGGGGTTTGCCTCGCTGGGAGGGCTGACAAGGCAGAGGTGGATGGAGCGGCGTCATGGGCAGAGTTTAGCCTGAATGGGCCGTCTGGCCTGCCGTCTCCTTGCAGTGTCCCCTGGAGGATAGCAGCATGGCCTTAATCAAATCGTGCACCTCAGTTTTCTTATTGGTAGACTGGGATAACAGTGTCTGCCTGGAACGGCGTTGAACGGGGCAGTAGTTACGGATCGGCGCCTGAGTGTGAAGGAAAAGGCCGGGGAGGGGGCAGGAGTCGAAAGCACCAGGGAACCGTGAGGACAGCACGCCGGCTCCCGCAGGCTCACAGCCGTTCACTGTCCTGGCGGGGTGGGCCCCGGCGGCAGGCCTGTGGGACTCAGAGTGACCTTTCCCTGGGAGACTTCGAAGCTTATGGAGTCGGCAGGGTAGCAGGTCCTTCAGGCTGCGCATCGGCTCCCGCCTGGGGCAGCCTCCGGCCGGGGCAGGCGTGGCGCGGAGCTGGTCTGCGGGCGGGAGGTGCCAGCTTCAGGTCCTGGCCCGCCGGAGGGTCCCATCCCGGGGCCCCGTGCTGACGCGCTGTGCCCCCGCAGCGGACGCCGGCGGTGTACTGCGTGCGGCTGGCCAGGGCCCTGGTGGACGACTACTGCTGCCTGGTGCCCGGCGCCGCGCAGACGCTGCGCCAGGTCTTCGGCGCCAGCCCCCGCTTCTGCTGCCAGCTCGTCACGGCCGTCACCGCGCTCTACGACCTGTCGTCAGGTAAGCCGCTCGCCCTCCTCCCTTCCTGCCCACGTCACTCACCGGCACTTCTCCCGGAACCTTTTTTTAAAATTATTTTTAAATATATTTTTATCGATTCAGAGAGAAAGGAAGAGGGAGAAAGAGATAGAAACATCCATGATGAAGAGAATCATGGATCGGCTGCCTCCTACACGCCCCCCATTGGGGATGGAACCCACAACCCGGACATGTGCCCTTGACCGGAATCGAACCTGGGACCCTTCAGTCCGCAGGCTGATGCTCTATCCATGCTCTAACCTGGCCAGGGCTCCCTGAACCTCTGAGTTTGTTGCCAGTGCCAAGTGCTGAAGCATGTGTTGGCCTCACTTATGTAACCACGGCGTCATGGCCGCCCCGAAGACAGGAGGTGTGAGAGGGTGAGAGGCCGGTGCTCGCCGTCTCCTGGAGCCGGGGTCAGACCCCCCGGCGCCTCCGCTGTGTCTCCTGCAGCCTCCACTCCCGGGGCCCAGTGCGGGAGCACACGTCACTGGTCTTTGGGTCCAGAACAGTGCCCGGCGCTGGCGGACGAGTCCACGGACAGCTATAGTGCAGCCTGTCGCCCTGTTGGGCTTCCGGGGTTGTTTCCTGTGAGAAGGTTCGCAGGGAGCACCTCTGGCCTCGGTCCTTCCTCACCGGGCCCTGTCCTCGGCGCCTCGAGCTGGGAGGCATGCCCCTCGGGCCTGCTCTCTGAGGTTTTTATTTTTTTAAATTATTTTTACTGACTTCAGAGAGGGGGGAAGGGAGGAGGAGAGAGAGAAACACAGATGTGAGAGAGAAGCATTGACCGCTGGCTCTTGCCTGCCCCTCTGGGAGATGGAGCCCACAGCCCAGGCATGTGCTCTGCCCAGGAACGGAGCCGGGACTCCTGGTTCCTGGGATGGTGCTTGGCCAGCGGAGCCACTGCGGCCGTCTGTGGTGCTGACCCAGTAGCCAGTAGCTGTTAGTAGCCGGGAGCACTGTTCAGGCTTTGCTTTCCAATCGGAAAGACTCAGTAAAGCCTCGTTTACCGCATCCTCGTTGCCCTTTCCGTCTGCAGCTATTCTAGGCCCCAAGGACAGAAACTGGCCTCAGCGTTGGGAACGGGTGGTGTCCAGAGAACATCAATAACGTTCTAGAATGGACGTGGGACGTGGTCTTTCTCTCTCCAGCCAGTGTGGGAGTCGGAGTGTCAGCCGTTTCTCTTACACCATTTGGGGCAGGGTGGTTGCATGTGAGAAGCTGTGCGTACTCACTGAACCAGCTGCTGTGTTTGGAGAAGCGGGATCCCCCGCACGCAATGAGAGGCAGCCGGGAGGCCAGGCCGGGGCGCTGCCTGCGGAAGGGCGGAGCTGCTGGGAGCGGAGAGGTTCCGGGGCGTCTGTGCCTCAGAGCCACAGGGAGCCGCTCCCGAAGCCAGCAGGGCCTCTGGCCGAAGGGAGCGGAGGGTTGTGGTGGCATCACACCCAAACCGCAGGCACAGTCTCAGGGAGGAGGCCGTGTCTCCGGGAATGAGCCTTGGGAATCTGTCACCCACATTCCTGATCCCCTGGGCCCTGAGCTCAGGGGAGCACAGCCTGCACAGCCCCCCCCCCCTACCCCCCCAAGCAGCCAGTGAAGAGCATTGCACGCTGCTCCCAGGGCCATGCCGTGGAGCCGTGTTCAGAGCCGGGCCACCCAGGGTCAGGTTGGGCCCGGCACATCTGGGTGACGAGTCCTGGGGAGGTGACTCCCGTCCCTGTGCCTCGGTGTCCTGGGGTGTCTGAGGTTAAACGAGTTCTTCTGTGGAGAGGAACAGGCCAGTGCCGGGACACCGACGCCCACAGGAAATGTCCGAATCCGTTTTCACTCTTCTCTGTCTGAGCCGCAGCGCCCGGTCCCAGGCCCAGGCCCCAGGCTGCTGCCCAGACGGGGCCGAGGGGGCTCTGGCGGCTCCTGAGGGCCTCGTAGCTGCCACGTGCCCTGGGGGAGATGCCAGCACCAACCGCAGCAAAACCTCCTCCAGGGAGGGGCGGCTCGCGGTGTGAGGCGGAGACGTGGAAAGTGTGGAGTTGGACTGAAAAAGACACAGCGGACTTTCCTCGAGGCCTCGTGGCGTTCTCGGGGATTGCTGAGTTGACGAGTCTCTCTGGAGCTCTGCCTTGGCCAGGCGGTCCTGTCCGAGACAGGAGTCCCTCGTGGCGGGATGGCCGGGAAGGGGACAGAGCGGACGAGCGGAGTAGATAACGGGGTGTGGGGCAGTGCGTCCTGCGAACCTCGGGCTCCAGCCCCTCCGCCCGCTCCGTCTCGGGGGCCGGAACCGTCCTGACGCTGCCTGTCTCTACAGACGACCTCATCCCGCCGCTGGACCTGCTGGACATGATTGTCTCCTGGATCTCCGAGGACTCGCGGCTGATCCTCATCACCTTTTTAAATACTCCGATCGCGCCCAACCTCCCCATCGGGTTTTTAGAGCTCACGCCGCTCACGGGACTGATCCGCTGGTGCGTGAAGGCCCCGCTGGCTTACCGGAGGAAGAAGCCCTCCCTGGCCAACGGCCACGGCGCCGCCAAGGCCGCCCCGGACGCCGCGGCGCCGGACAGGGACCCCCAGCTGCTGTACTCCAGGCTGCACCTGAGCGTGCTGCAGGTGCTCATGGTGCTGCAGGTGCACCTCACCGAGAAGAACCTCTACGGCCGCCTGGGCCTCATCCTCTTCGACCACATGGTCCCGCTGGTCGACGAGATCAACCGGCTGGCGGACGAGCTGAACCCCCTCAACGCCTCGCAGGAGATCGAGCTCTCCCTGGACCGCCTGGCGCAGGCCCTGCAGGTGGCCATGGCCTCCGGCGCGCTGCTGTGCACGAGAGGTGGGTGGCTCCCGCCTCGGCCTTCCCCGGGGGCGCGACCCCACAGCCCCCCACAGAGCACGGGGCCCCGGACCGGCGCCGGGTGCTGCCTCTCCGGGACTCCTTCCCGTCAGTGAGCGTGGGGAGGGGGCGGCTCGGACATCCCCGGGCAGAGCGTGTGACCGCGCTGTCGCCATGGCGCCTGGCCGCCGCTGCAGGCCCGGCCACCTTGAGGGGTGGGAGCTTAGCATCCGTCCTCTGAGGCGGTCTTCTTTTCTGCGAAGATTCCCTTTCATTCCCTCTTCTTTGAGGCATAATTACCGCAGGAGAGGCAGGGGCTGAGATGCAGAGACATTCCCCTCCCTGTGGAAAGGCTCCCTAACTCTCCTGCTTTAGTGCTTGATGGCTCTCGGTGAAGGAGCCTGTGCTGATGACATACCTGTGTTCCCCCTCTCCCTGTTTTTTGTGTTTTTTGGGGGGAGGGTCATGGATTCCAGAGAGAGAGAGAGGGAGGAAGGCAGAGGGGGAGAGGGAAACCCGTCCTCGGATCAAACCTACCACTTGGATACATGCCCTGACCAGGAATCGAACCAGCAACCTTAGGTGTTGAGGGCGACACTGCAGCCAGCGGAGCCACGTTGGCCAGGGCCGTGTTCCCCTTTGGGCCGTTGGCTCCCAGAAGCTGCCCGGCCCCCCGGCTGCCCAGGCCGTGGTCTCTGGTGACGGGTTTCCATTCCACCGGCCGGTCCTGCCGCAGGCGGCTGATCTGCTGGGGAGAGGCTGCCTTCCAGCTCTGACACTGCCAGCCGAGCTGCCCCCCAAGCGACGGTTCTGTCTGGGGCCCCACGTTTGTGAAAGCAAACTCGGGCTGGGGGGGAGCGGGCGTGTAGAACGCAGCTTTTGAACCACGTCTGGGAGGCGGCGTCTCGGGCTGGATGGCTGCTCACTAGCACCCTTCACACTAGCACCTTCAGATGCCTCGTCGTCTCCGTCCTCCTTAACTCCGTGTCTCTTGGTTTCAGAGGACCTGAGGACCTTGTGCTCCCGGCTGCCCCACAATAAGTAAGTGCCCTCTCCAGACCGCCAGGCGGGTGGGGGGTGAGGGGGAGCAGGGCAGGGCGGGCCCCGTCCGGGCCTGCGGGTCCACGCCTCCGTGTGAGGAGGCCCCTCAGGACTGACGGTAAGCGGGGACAGATGGGATGGATGGCGGACCCACAGGAGAGGAAGGCCATGTCGGGGTCCATCAAAGGTCACAAGGTGAAACAGGAGTCGTCTTGCTGGAGTCGAGGAAAGAACTGGAATCAGTGGAGGGTCACGCTCACTGGGCACTCGTGCACCCGCCGGCTGTGGTGGCCACAGACCGCCCTCCGTCTCCCCGTTCCATCTCTCCGTCTGGGAGCCTGCGTGTCTGTCCCCGCATCCCCCAGGGCCTCTGGTGCCTGTGTGCGGGCTGTGTGTCCGGGCCTCACGGGGATCGGCGCTAACCCTCCTCCTTGTGTCCGCAGCCTGCTGCAGCTGGTGATCTCGGGGCCCGTGCCACAGTCGCCCCACGCGGCCCTGCCCCCCGGCTTCTACCCTCACATCCACACGCCGCCACTGGGCTACGGGGCCGTGCCCGCCCACCCCGCCGCCCACCCCGCCCTGCCCACGCACCCCGGGCACACCTTCCTCTCGGGCATGGGGTTTCCCTTCAGGCCCATCCGCTAGGCCGCCCGACGCCGAGCGGCACTGTGCCTTCGCCCGGGCGGAGAGCGGCCCGGGAGGACCGGGAGGCGGCGGCCCGCACCAGCGCCGTCCTGGCCACGCGGGGAGAGTCCAGGCGGACAGACAAGGAAACGAGCGTGTCCAGCCTCTCCACGGAGCCACGCGGTGTCTTCGGAGACGCCGTCCTGAGCGCCTGCTCTCTGCCCGGGACCCGCGTGCGCGCGAAGCAGCGTTTGCACGTCCACTTGTCAGTGGGTGCGCTCCTGCCGCAGACACAGCCGCCCCGCAGCCCTGCCCGGGGCATGTGGTCTCTGGCTGAGCCCGCCCGGGGCCGTTCGGGAACCTGTGGCGGTGTCCGGCACCAAGAAGGGGCAGCTGTCCCATCGGGTCTAGAGTTTTCTTTCCTGTGTTCAATAAACCTTTTCTAAACACTGCGTGGCCTGTGGGCTGTATGTCTGCAAGGAGGGGGCACGTTAGCCGCTGCCCTGGGCGGAACCGGAAAGGCCTCTCCTCTGCTCGGTGCCATTGCCCGTTTCTCGCTGTAGAGAAACCCGGGCGCGGGCAGGACTGAGGGCAGCACTTGCTGTTAGAAGCATCCACTACGCTCGGCTGGTTTGGGGTTTCGTCCATTCATGTTGTACACTGATGAACACTTTTCCGCACACTGTCACACTTTAATGAAAGTACCCTCTGCCCCGGCCGGTGTTGCTCAGCGGTCAGAGCAGCGGCCTGCAAACCAAAGGGTTTCAGGTTTGATTTCCAGTCAAGGGTGTGTGCCTGGGTTGCAGGTTCAATCCCTGGCCCTGACCAGGGTGTGTGTAGAAGGCAACGAATTGATGTGTCTCCCTTGCATTGAAGTTTCTCCCCCCCCCCCCCTTCCACTCTTAACAATCAATGGAAACATCCTCAGGTGAGGATTAACAAAAAGGAAAAAAACAAACACAGAAATCTTCCAGCTGTTTCAAAATGCCGTATTTTATGCCTTCTTTAACTGAGGAAATGATATTCAACATCATCAAGAGTGTGTGTGTGTGCGTATATATATTGATTTTTTAGAGAGGAAAGGAGAGAGAGAGAGAGCTAGAAACATCCATGAGAGCCATCCATCAGCTGCCTCTTGCACGCCCCCTACTGGGGATGTGCCCGCAACCAAGGTACATGCCCTTGACCAGAATTGAACCTGGGACCTATCCATTGAGCCAAACCGGTTTCGGCAATCAAGAGTTTTTTTAAATGCATGGCCCCGTGGTTGAGCATCGACCTATGAACCCGGAGCTCAGGGATCGATTCCCGGTTGCAAGCTTGATCCCCAGGAGGGGGCGTGCAAGAGGCAAACGATCAATGATTCTCATTGATGTTTGTATCTCTTCCTCTCTGAAATCAATTAAAAAAAATTTTTTTTAGAAAAGAACTTAGGAGAAAAACAGACTATTACATGATGCAAGTTTATCATTTCTTTTGCCTTTTCTCCAGTTTCTGATGTCCCAAACTTCACTCCGGTGTCCCTTAGCATCTCTCTAAGAGGGATGTCAATGGGTGGCAAACCACGTGACCGCGTTGTTAGCACGTTCGTGGGAAACACAGCAAGAGAGCAAAAGCAGCGGGGTGGACTGGGAAGTTAGCAGACATTTCTGATGCTGCTAACGCCACAAGAACCGCTGGACTTACTCAAATAGGCACAGTGCCACCTTGAGAAAAGCTCAGGAGAAGAGGGGACAGGGGTTGGAGCTGGGAGTGCAAGTGTGGGCCGGAGGAAGACTGGAGGAGACTGGAAGGCCCTTCCCTGTAACTTGCATCATGGGAGGGTGAGCAGCCGGCCCAGCAGAGCCTGCACAGGAGGCAGAGGGGCAGGCAGAGAGGCTGACTGAGAGGGACGAGGAAGGGGGACAGCCCAGGCCCTTTTTAATTTTTATTTTATTTAAAATATATATATATATTTTTAAAATATTTTATTGATTTTTTAGAGAGAGAAGAAGGGAGAGGGATAGAGAGCTAGAAACACTGATGAGAGAGAAACATCGACCAGCTGTCTCCTGCACATCCCCCACCGGGGATGTGCCCGCAACCAAGGTACAGGCCCTTGACCGGAATCGAACCCGTGACCTCTCAGTCCCCAGGCCGATGCTCTATCCACTGAGCCAAACCGGTTTTGGCATTAAAAAATATATTTTATTAATTTTACAGAGAGGAAGGGAGAGGGACAGAGAGTTAGAAACATCGATGAGAGAGAGACAACGATCAGCCACCTCCCACACACCCTGCATTGGAGATGTGCCTCAGGCACATGCCCTTGACCGGAATCGAACCTGGGACCCCCAGTCCGCAGGCTGACGCTCCATCCACTGAGCCACACCGGTTTCGGCAGCCCGGGCCCTTTTAGAACTCCTGGCAGCCACGGGACAGAGTCCAGTGCTGCCAGAGTCCAGTACTGCCTGCCTAGCAAGATGAGGGGTTAGTGACAGGGCAGTCACTGGCGACATTAGGGGGCTGTCTGGGGAGTGATGGGGTGCAGGCCAGGTGGGAGAGGAGGAGAGGGGGAGAGGTGGCAGATGGGGATACACAGAACCACTAGGAGCATCTTTCCAGGAAGATGGCGCCAGGGCCACGGGAGAAGGGAGAGGGGAGAGGAGAGAAGGGAGAAGGGAGAGGCTGAGGCCGTTAGAAAGCAGGGGGGGGGGGGGGGGGGCAGAAGGAGGCGGAGGGAGCGGGTCGCCCTCCCAGCGCTGGAGGCCGGGGCTCCTGGCGGTGCAGCCTGTCTCAGCCACAGGTGGAGGGTCACCCTTTGCCACCGCTCATCCCAGACGGCTCCACCTCCAAAGCTGGGTGTCTGGCTGCCCTCGGCCCCTCACAAGGCAGGTGTGCCCTCTGCCCTCCAGGGCCCCACTCTGCTGGCAAAGCCACCGCCAGAGATGCCAGCTTTTCACCCCATACCCCCCCATCCCCATCTCACCCTACACCCCCCCAACACACACACACCCCACTCCACCCCCCTCATCCCCATCTCACCCTACACCCCAGCCCATACCCCCGCAACACACCACACACACACACACCCCACCCCCCAACCCCATCTCACCCTACACCCTACCCCATACCCCCCAACACACACACAAACCCCACCCCCCTCATCCCCATCTCACCCTCCACCCCATCCCCATCTCACCCTCCACCCCACCCCATAACCCCCCCCCCCCCCCACCCCGTGCGGCGCCTGGCTCTCAGCCCGCACAGACGCCGGGGCGGCGCGGGGCCCAGGCCGCGGGGGCCGCCGCGGGCTGCGGGCCGGGAAGGGTTAAGCCACCGAGCTGGCGGCGGCGGCTAGAGCGGCGGCGGCGGCGGCCGGGCGGGGGGCGCGGGCACAGGATGCGGAGGCCGGGGGACTTCCTGTGCGGCCCGCGCCCGCGCCCCCCGCCCGGCCGCCGGACGCGCGCTCCGGCGAGTGGACCGGCGAGCGGGGCCCCCGCCGCCGCCCCCGCCCCCGCCCGCGGCCCGCGGACCCGGCGCCCGGCTGAGCCGGCCCGATGGCGCCCGGCCGAGGCCGAGGCCGACGGCGGCGGGGCCGCCCCGCCCGGGCCGCCGCGGAGTCCGGAGGCCGGGGCCGCGGGCGCGGGTCCCGCCGGGCCGGCCGCGGCCGCCGCCCCGGGCCCCCGGCCTCCCGCGCGCCCTGGGCGCCCGGCCCCGGCGGCGGCGCCTCGGGAGCCAGCTGGCTGGCGGCCCTGCTCCTGCCGCGCTGCGGGCCGCACCTCCCCGACATCCCGGACATGCCCGAGGTGCTGTTCCAGGTGAGCGCCGGGCGCCGGGCGGCACGGGCGGCGGGCACCGGGCGGCACCCGGGGCGGCGGGCACCCAGCGGCGGGCACCCGGGGGGCGGGCACCGGGCGGCGGGCACCCGGGGGCGGCACCCGGGGCGGCGGGCACCCGGGGCGGCGGGCACCGGGGCGGCACCCGGGGCGGCACCCGGGGCGGCGGGCACCCAGCGGCGGGACCGGGTGGGCCTGCTCGGCGGGCGCTCAGAGAGGCAGGAGCCCCGGCCGCGGGCCCCGGGCGCAGGCGGGGGCCGGCCAGGCTGGCGGCTGGCAGCTGCCTCCGTGCTGGCCGCCCGGACGGTGCGGCCGGGACCCTACACTGCGCGCCGGCGGCCGGGGCCCGGGGTCCGGTCAGGAGGCCGGAGCCGGAGCGCAGGGACTTTCCTGCGACTTCCACGGCCTCCCCGGCGCCAGTGCGGGGCCCTCAGCTCCCGTCCACGCTCCCACCCGCCTCCCCTCCCCTCCCCTCCCCTCTCCCCTCCCCTCTCCCCCTCTTCCCTCTCCCCTCTCCTCCCCTCCCCCTCCTCCCCTCTCCCCTCCCCTTTCCCCTCTTCCCTCTCCTCCCCTCCCCTCCCCTCCTGTTCTCTTCTCCCCTCTCCTCCCCTCCCCTCCCCTCCCATCTCTCCTCCCCACTCCCCACTCCCCTCTCCCCTCTCCCTACTCCTCCCCTCCCCTCCCATCTCTCCTCCCCTTTCCCCTCTCCTCCCCTCTCCTCTCCCCTTCCCTCTCCCCTCCCTTCCCCTCTCTCCTCCCCTCCCCCCCTCCCCTCTCCCCTCCCCTCTCCCCTCTTCCCTCTCCCCTCTCTTCCCCTCCCCTCCCCTCCTGTTCTCTTCTCCCCTCCCCTCCCATCTCGCCCCTCTCCCCTCTCCCCTCTCCCCTCTCCTCCCCTCCCCTCCCCTCCTGTTCCCCTCTCCCCTCTCCTCCCCTCTCTCGCTCCAGGAGGAGCAGGGGCGCCAGGCGCGGAGCTCCCCAAACCCGGAGGGAAAGGCCCCCTGGGTGCCGCCCCTCCCTGTCCCCAGCAGAGGGCGCCGCCCTCCTTCAACAGGTGGAGCCGGGCTGGGGTGGCTGATCTGGGGGCTCCCTGGCCTGTGCCAGGCTGGGCTCCCAGCTCCCCGCCCCCTGACGGCTCCCCCCCTCCCTCCCTGTCCACGCAGCCGGCTCCCGGGAGGCTGCTGACCGCCAGGATAGAGCTGGGCG